AGTGATCAATTGAGTGGCTATGGATGGATGAACAAGCAGGCATACTCTGTACATATGGATATACCAGGCATTCCAAAAAGGGAAATGGAAACGAGAGGCTTTCCAATATAGACCTGAATTCCCCCTACTCTTCTTCTCTTTTCGTGCTCCCTCTCTATCTATGCTCGCTATCTTGTTTGGATCTTCGCGATTGTTTTGATCTTCGTGATTTGGATTCCGATATCAATTAAAGTTTTCTTGCTTGTGTGGGGAAGCATATTGTCTACCCTCCATCACCTCTCGAGCCTCTTCATAGTACGTCCATTGTACTCTTCATCAAAAGCCACCAAGTTGTTGCTAGCTCAAGTAGCTTGACATAATAACCTTCACCTAACCTTTCTACATATAACGAAACGATCCAAGCAAGGGCAAGGCTAATAAGAGCGGTCGAATCTCGATTTGCCGACACCCACACACTGCACACCCTGTGTTCCCATCTCCACTTTATTCGCTCCTTTCGCGAACGCGACTGGTTTCTTTTTCTTCCTTTTCCTGCCACCACCTTTTTTGAAATCCTTCTTACGAAATACTCGAAGCACAGCATCATAGTTCATCTACTTCTATCCAAATCTTGAAAAAATCATTTCGCTCACTTACCCAAACTCATTGATAACAATTGATTTACTCATCGTCCGAAGAGGAAAGAATTGAAGAAAGATAAACAATCAGAACAACAAATTGAATCCCTGTTCCAACAGAGATCGCAATCATGACTTCACATATGCCAATGGGAACGGCTAGACAACCGTTTGCTCCGTTGAATAGTTCACGTCTACAGAATATCACGAGTATCAAGAATCGTCAAAATGGTATGCCAAAAGTCCACTTTATTAGAATAGCAGTACCTGTCTCTCTCTCTCCACTGCTACAATTCACTCTTTCTTACCTTACCCACTTGACATGATCTACATATGAACACGATACTTACATCTTCTCCAGCTTTATCACCCAATAATACCTCTCCTAAACGCAAAGCTACATCATTTGAATCCGACGATGATTCCGAAAATGTTGATCCTATATTCTTCGAATCTCCCAAGCGATCCAAGGCGGTTGAGGAAACTAAAGATACCTACTCAAAGCCTACAAGCTACTTCTTAACCAAAGCCCCTCCCTCTCCCACCGAGGCGTCACTTACCTCTCCTCTTAAACCTATCAAATCTACCACCCAGCGAAAGATTCTACAAACTCGTACTCAAACACCAAAAGCCACCACCACAGCCCCAAAATCTACACCCCTTACCGCTCCAGCAGGCCGTTCACCTACTAGAAAGCGCGTCGGAATCCTTAACAATCACCGTCGTGCTTCCGGCTCAGTAACCCGCGTTGATCCTCCCAAATTCTCCACTACAAAGCCTAGCGGTCTTAGCTTCTCAATCGATGCCGCTCTTTCAGGAACCATTCCATCATATGGCGCACGTCAACGTCAACGTCAAGCTCTCTCTTCCAAGGGCATGAAGGCCCAAACCTCTCAGAAAGAAACCCCCTCCTCTCTTCATGCAAACGAAGGCAAATCATCCTGGTTCTTCCAAATCCACGAAGACACTGAAGAGGAACACGCCACCAACCTTATGGAACACAGTACTGGCATTCTCGATATCTCCTCCGACGAAGAAACACTTACAAGATTGAGAGATGAGAGAGGCAAAGAGAATGTTCCACCTCTGGACGATATTTCTCAAACACGCACTTCGCTTACTGCTTTCGCTTCGAGTTCTTCCATGTCTATGTCTCGTAAAGATGATGTGGAGGTTAGAGAAATGAAAATGAGGATTAAGATGCAACAGAAGAAACGAAGAGAAATAGAAGAGGGTGCTATTGATGTTGATAGAGCACCATTGGGTGAGATGAGGAAAGAAGATTTCTTTGCAGAAGGTTGTGATGAGAAGAGTGTTTTTATTGTTTTTCCAGATCCCGAACCTGAGGCGTCAGTGGAAAAAGAAGTAGAAGCTGAGAAAGAGACGGAAGCTCCTTTGGAACAAGAAGATCAGATTCCAGAACCACAAACTACAATCCCATTGCCAGAACCGGTTTCTATGGCTTATACGCCTGGAAAAGGAAAAGGCAAGGGAAAGGAAATCGATATTGAGTTTCTCATGCAAAAGAAAGTGGTAGAACCAATGGAGAAACCGGAAGCGGATTTTGTTGTTTGGGAAAGTGGAAGTGCGAAGGATGAAAATGAATGAGACTCGTTCAAAAGGGATTGTGTTTGAGTTTATGAACTATGTGTATGATTTTTGCCAGAGCGTTTTGGGATTGTACTTGGAGGAGTTGATTACTTGTTTGTGGGCTTGATTGGTTGTATATGGATCAATGGGTGGATGGAATGAATGCAGGATTTCTCGGTTGCGTGGTTATGTTTGCATATATTGGCTTCTTGTCGTGTTGTTTCTATCTGTGGCTCTGTCTGTGTTTGCGTCAGGGAGTTTGGGATGTTTGGGTGTTGGATTTAGTAGATGGAAAGCTATTTGATATTGCCGTTGCGATCGCTACTGGAAGAACACAAAATTAAGTTGATTTTATAAGTACAATTTTTGGTCGACCTAGATGTTTGTGATTGTCCTGATGTGATGTGACATTCATGTTTGAAAGGCAGTGATCGGGTGTAGGAAAGAAAGGGTATGTGGGAGGTTGTTTCTCAGATACAAATTGTAGAAAATGAATTGAGTTTGAAAGTGCATGGAGGGGTAGGAGGTGGGGTGTGGGGTATGGAGCGTCATGCTGGAGGCGGGGGGGCAGGGGAGGTGGGGTATTGATTCGCTTGGTGATAACGGGAGGGGTAGAGGGGGAGGGGAAGATGGGCGGGGTAGAGGGGCGGGGTAGAGATATGAGGATGGAGAGATATGAGGATGCGAGGAGGTTGTATGTATGTATGTATGTATATATGTGTACTTATATATGAGGGGAGAGAAGAGAAATAGTGAGAGGATATGGATATAGATATGGATAGATGAATGGTGCAGGGAATGAGGAGTGGGAGATTGTGCTGTTGTTTGTTTGGGTGGACGGGAAAGGAAGATAATATATTTGGATTTTGAGGAGTGAATTGTGGGAGGAGGCAGGATTGATTGGAAAGGGATGGGTGTGGTTGATTGATTGATGAGAGAGAGAGGAGAGAGGAATAGATGGGTGAGGATTTGATGGTTGCTTTATTCTCGGTTCTTGTTGGGTGTTGGGTATAGTATTTAGTGTGCTGTGGTGTGGTGTATGGGAATTTCAGCTCGCTCGCTCGCGAAGGGGTAGGAGAAGATCTGGGGTTGGAACTTGGCTAAGGTGCTGGGGTCTTGGTCGGATAGGAGTTAGAGTGGGTACTACTACTAATAGTATTGAGGTCTTGATTGGATGATTGGTCTTAGGAGTATGGGGATTGATGCTGGTATTGTTTGGTTGGTTGACTGTTCTGGGTTTTCTGTGTGTGCTGTTGTGATGGTGGGTTGACTACATATATACACGGATTCTTGGGCGTAGGGGGGGTTATGGAGAGGGTAGCAATCGAGATTGAGATGGAAGGGATGAGAAATTTAATTTCTAGGCGGAGGAATGATTGATTCTGGAGATGTCGGTTTATGACAATGCTTGAGGAAAAATACCATATATCTTAAGATTCAGAAGTCTGAGATAGCTCATAGGAGAAGCTAGTTCGTGTGCGAGGTTCATTCTGTCTCATGTCTCAAATGTTTCGCAGATGTGTTGAGGATGTTGCTTTCTAGTTAATAATGAGAGCACGATTCAGAAGAATTTTGGGGCGTCTGTTCTATGTTTCGCTGGCTATCTAGGTAGGTATATAGATGGATGCGTAGATGAGTAAATGGCTATGTTAATGGATAGCTGCAAGTTCTTGATGGTTGGTTGGGAATGTGTAGATGCTAGATATAACTTTTATTTTGAGTGACGGAACTAAAAGTGTTTGATTGATTGCTAATTGGATTGTCGATGTACGAGATCTGTATTGGGATTTCTGAATCTTGATTCGGCTAGTCTTGATAGTTGTAAGGCGGGCTTACATTTATCTTCTACTCCGCACGTTTTGAACTGTCCCCTCAACGGTAGGATGTTGCTTTTGTTAAGGTAAAGACGCAATGATGACATACGAGTAAATACACTGTGATTTTCGTGAGTTGCAGCTGGGATCCTCTTACCATAACTCACGAACTACCCATTCACTTTCACTCCCGGCTCATCAGTTCACTCTTCCATCTATTATTCACTCACAACCCACTTCCGAGAACATACTCTCATCCCATATACTCCCATCCCATCTCACCATCCCATCTGCACCCGCATCCACAAAAACCCTAAACCCCCTCACTCAGAACCCTCCCTCCTTCCACCCAAAACGACTTTTTATTTCTCCAAAAATCAAAACCAGCAAGAGACTAAGCCACAGGCCTCCTCATCTCCCGATGAATTCCAATACCTACATAAAGTGGGACATGAATCATTGTACCGAGTCCCACGGTTGTCCATATTCGATCATATTCAATACCATTGCGCCACGCACATTTGTGTGTTCAGATATTAGGGGAGTGGTGTTTGGGATTATATGGGAGGAAGTGGTGGTTGGGTGGGTGATGGGTTGATGAGTTGATTTTTGCGTGGAGGATTGGGGAGATGGTAGGTGAGGTTAAGAAGAGTAGGGAATTTGAGTGATTTTTGGTAAAGGGAGAGTGGAGAATGTGTTTGAGGGGATAGTAGGAACATCGTGAGAAGCTTTAATGAGGGGTTTCTACTAGGATTGTGCTTGGAAAGTAATTACGAAGAGAGGTGGCTTGAACAGAGGGGGATATTGTAGAGATTGATGTGATTCTACTTACGCTGGTTAAAATTTCACATCGCAATGTAAATGCGCCAACCATGAAACGAGATGGAAGTTGATCGATTTGACTACACATCTCAAAGTCTGCATTTTACAACTTTATGCAAGGATTTATTACAAATTTGACAAAGAAATTACACAATTGGAGATCAATGATTTGAAATTTGATTTGATTGAGATTTCTGGAGGTCGAAAGAGTATTCGATGCATTTGTACACCCACTGTTATGTGTCCCTGCTCCCACAGATGCACTGTCAATGATATGTTACTCACAGCTTGTGAGTTTTTAGTAAGTATTTTACAATGTGTATTCTACATCCGTGTCATCCATACATGTGATATACACATCTATGATATACCAAGGGGCTTCAATATTCTCTCCCGCGCCACTCTTGTTGCAACATCACCACCCTTCTGTAATGCGATTGCTCCAATGATAGCGTACAATGAAGTGGCTAATACAAGCTCATGACCAGACTTCTCGAGATCATCCTTCTGTATAGGGAATTAGTAGCCATATGAACACACCTCGTAAAAGAACACTTCGACTTACCATTCTAGGTTCCCATCGAATGATATCTGGCATGCCTATCCGAGTAGCTAAATTCGCCAATCTCTCCTTGCTTAAAATATCATCCACCTTGACATTGGTCAAGTTTGGCAAACCGTCCAGAGCAGGGTGTGAAAATGGCTCCTCAACTTCTGTTTCCTGGTCGTCTGTTTCCTGAGGTAATTGAGCTTTTGTCGCAACCGGCGATTGTAATAAAACCAAACTTGTCTGTAAGTTCAATATCCTACGTCCTGTATATCACAAACTCAGCATACGTTCAGCCATTCGCATCGCAAACCAGGATACGCACCGAAATATGCCAATCGATCATTGAATCCTCTTCTTCCTTGATCAAAACTCTTATGTGTAATCGCAAGCCATTTTACTTCGTCTGTAAGTACTTCATCGCCTCCCCGTCCAAGAAATTGGATATAAAATCGGTTTAGTCTTTCTGGATCGCTATTGACTTCCCATCTGGGTATGTCGCGGTTTTCTCTCGGATTGAATGGTAATTTCATCTGTGGTGGTGTGTATGACCATCTTGGTCTTGCCCCTCGTTCTTCATTATATTGGGTATCTGATCTCGAGGCTGATATTGAAAATTGTCGGACGGTATTTGAGCGGGAGGATATGGGAGTGGCGCATGAGCATCTTTGACGTGCTTGCCGGGTAAGGGATCGAAGTGATCGGGTGGTAGATTTGGATGCCATTGCTATGTATAATTCGTGGTTAATCGTCATGCAAATACCCCCGTCCTCTAGCAAAACAATTCCTGGATGTTGAAAGCTCAAGATTTCTGGAAACTTTATCTGGACGCTAAGCTTCTTTGGGCCTAGATAGAGTTTCGCGTCCATCATTGTGCCGACTCACCGACGCGTCTCACAAAGAACGACTCCATTTACAATTCCATAAGTACTCGAGTGATTTAAGCTATTAGACTCTCAATTTATGATCATGAAATAATTTGCAATATTATTTTGCTATGGCTACTCCAGGAAGTGATGGTTCGAAAGAATCAGTTGTATCTTCCGTTCTCATACAACGACTTGCTTCTGTCCTTCCTAAAGACGTTACTTTTAAGATCTACCATCTATCTACCCCTCCAACCAAAACCTCATCATTATATTCCGCACCACCAAATAGTCGACCCGATAGAACGTATTGCGAAAGCCATTTTCTTACAGTTTCTATTCAAACTCCCTCAAAACCTGATGCATCTGAATTACTCGAAGTACTAGTTTTTGCAATCGAAATCCTGATATATTCCACCGCATACGATACTACATTTTTTGTTTCAAAAGCCGATTCGACTGGTTATCTTCACCTTCTAAATCTACCCAAAGGAACTCCTTCTCCCATAAGGGATATCAGTGCTACATTCTTGCAACACTTAGTCGAGCAACATCAAAGGGAAAATATCCGGAGTATTGTCTCCCTTTTCGCACGAGCTCAAGATCAATATCTCTTCCCAGGGAGCATTGAATATAGTGGAAAGCATGTGTTGGACGACAGAGGCTTGGTGCGCTGGTGGTGTCGAGTTCTTGACCCCCTGATAGAGCAGACGGAAACCTCGAACGATTTGCGAAAATCACAATGGGACTCAGTGCAAGGCTTTTTAATTGTTCCTGGGCAGGACAATTACGAGACCAAGTCATATCTTCCAGCAAGAGCAAAGTTACAGACTGCGCAGAGCTCCTGGACCATTGGGCACCCACTTCGACAAATTTCAAGACATGCAGATGATATTCCTCCACGATGTTTAGTCCCACATTACCCTGATGATCCAAAAGCAAGGTTTCTAGACGAATTAGATGATGAAATAGGAAGGGGAAAGGATGATTCGAATGGACAATGGAAGAGTGTGAGAAACATTGATCAATTCTGGGAAATGATGGCATATAGACAAGAATGTTCAGCCGGTCGACTTGTTGGATTTATATGGATTGTTTTTACACCACCAGTTCGACATAATCACGGAGATCTCGTAATTGGCAGCAGCCAAACTTCAACATTACCTAACGATGGCCAAGAGCATAACTCATCGTTTCTCTTTATTCCAGACACTACACCAGCCATTTCCACTCTAAAGACATCTTTTACTAGCTCAAATCTAGCTCACCAGTCACCTTCGAAGCGAAGTGATGGTTTCTCAGTCATTGAGGAACCCAATCAATTATCAAAGACTTCCGCCCAACGGAAGAAGAAAAAATTGTCCGGGCTTATCATTCCCAGACAGCCACGCATCAAGACCGAGAATAAAAATTACTTGTTAGAAAGACCCGAGAGAACCGCATACTATACTTGGAAACCAGAAGGTCGGGGTCAAGTCATAGTTGACGAAACGGATTATCATCGAATCAATGAATTGCTGCTTCGACTAGACTTTGCCGATCTAGACCTAGCAAGTTCGAGTTCGAAGAGATGGATCAATGAAGTTCGTTCAGGTGCTGGAAGAATGGGCGACACATGGGGTCAATTAGTTACAGGAACCAAAGTAACAGAGATTACAAACAAGACGAGTGGCGCAGGCGTTACAACTCTTAATGTAGGGCTTGTGCGGAAGAAAAGGAAATCGAGCACAGATGAGCCCCATGAGCCCACTCCTACCGTGGCAGCGACCCTACAGGTCAATGTGCTTGGAGCTGGTATGATCAGAAAAAAGGTAAAGAACTAATGTGGTTAACATTGCGCCTGGTGTATATTTGGTATAGTTAAAGGTCTGCATTCAGACGGAGTTGGATAAAAGAGGTGTTCCCGAGATATATATACCCAGGATATGGATCACGAATAATCAAGGCAATTGTCATTTCGCATTTTTATACAACACCGACGTGAATTCGAAACACAATCGCGAAGTACTGACCCAGTAGCTTCTCAATAGCCCTGGCCAAATGCGCCAGCCTTGTAGATCCACACTTTCCCAGGTATGGCACAGCCTTCCCCTTACGTTATTCATGAATCTGTATGGGATAACTTTAAATAGACTACGAGTAGCTGATGAGATTCGGGATTGCGACAAAGTTGCCGTTTCATCCGACCCCATTTTTGAAGCGGTAAAGTAGGTAAGCGAGACCTCCTTTACTTCGCCACATTATTCGGGTGCACAATTGGTCTATTCGTACACTTATGTAATATGACATTTAATGATATTTTCACGCCCCGACCAATGAGAGATTAATGCGTAATTAGTCATTTACATTTCTTATTCCATGGAGGATTGTAGTATCTCACAATCTGCCTTGGACCATTGCTGTTTCCTTCGTATATGAACCTAGTTTTCTGAATGATTTTTTAGCTTTTCTAGCTAGTAGCTGTTATTTTCCCTTTCTTTCTGCGATACCCTGAAATATTTGGTGTTGACCCTTGTTGGACTATGTTCACTTGTCCGTGTTGAATATACCATCAAGTTATTTGTTGCCTAAAAAACGACGATGATGTTTTCTAGTCTCGTAGTCCTTGCGTCGACAGTCTTTATTGCTACCAACGCTCTCGTTCTGAGTACCACAACTACGCATTCAAGCCCCACTGCGGCTCCAACGATTTTGCACCGTGATGCGACTGCCACTGCTTCACCTGCATCCACAAGTCCACTCTATTTCCTAACAACAAATTACATTACCATTGTGGGGGTAACAAATGCACATGTGACTATCCCAGCCAAAACCGTATCTTTTGCAGTTCCTACCTGCATACAAACACTTACGCCGGACAAAAATGGACATCTGCCTCCGGGCACATGCAACGCTCTCTATGACTACTATCCTAGTTCTGCATCAGCTATAGCTTTCGCTGCCATTTTCGGAGTTCTTACTTTAGCTCACATCATACAAGCATTCTTTTACAAAAAGGTATTTGCACTTTTACTTCATTCCATATTTTAACACCGAAATTGACATGTTACACAGGCATATAGTTTCTTCGTAGTTTCAGCATCCATCTGGGGTCTGACGGCTTTCATACTCCGCATTGTATCAACCCACAACCAGCAAGATAACGCTCTTAAACTCACATCTTCCATCTTTGCTTTGACTATCTCGCCCTTGATCGATGCCTATTATTTCATTCTCTTAGGACACCTCGTACATCACTATCTCCCAAGTCGTTCTCTTCTCAGTATTCGTGCTTATTTTATTGCGCTTCCTTTCTTAGTATTCAATGGAGTGGCCTTTGTGCTAGAAGTTGTGGGCGCAACAATGATGGAAAGGAGGAATTTTAAATGGGAACAGAGGAATGCAGATCATGTTCACATTGGAGGCTTGGTCGTGCAAATGCTGGTTATTTTCGTCTTTCTTGGCGTGCTTGTGGCATTCTGGAGAGAGATGAATGGGCTAGGACGAAAAGGTGTCATGGGAACAGGTGGAAGGGGTTACTGGGAGCAATGTTTGGAGGGTCTTGTCTTATTCTGGTAAATATTCTATCCTTACCATTGAATGATATCATCCAGAATAGTCATACTAACACAAACCCCGCAGATCCAGATATTCTTCTCCATTGCTCGATTCTCTACCGAAGATAAAACGTCAAGTGCCATCTCCACCCATGAATACTATTTCTACATCTTCGAAGTTGCTCCAGCAGTTCTAGCCATAAGCATAATGAACGCAATTCACCCTGGTCGAATCATGACTGGAGAAGAGAAAATGCGAAGCTTTTGGAGCATTCTCATGTGTTGGTTACCTTGCTGTAGGTCGAGAGGTGAAGCGAGAAGAAACAACGATACGGGCTCGATTTCTAGCTCGAAAGATTGATTGGTTTAGATGAGGAGGGGTCTGAGGGGAAACTCGATAAGATTGATGAACCGCCGAGATATACTCCTTTGTGAGCTGGACTTAGCTTTGGTGTTTGCTGAAAATTTCGTAGAGACATTGCTTATTTTCCGTTTTGTATTTTGTTTAGTCAATTTTTTGCGATGCAATGCAATGCAAGATCCCGGTATATCTTATGGCCTAAGAAACATTCAAGGAATGCTTGAAAAGTGAGCCGTGAAAAAGCAAGTTGGGCTATCACATATTGGCCCATTCATATCATAAAATGTCAGCTCGAAAATTTCTAAACATCCCGGTCCGTCAGCTGATCAGTCGAATACCCACTAGCACTGGGTAATTATCTTTCTCAGAATAAAATATATCAAGCAAAGTCCCATTATCTTCTGTGAGCTCAATCTACGATCTATTTGTGAAGTAGAAATGTCGAGCACAAAGAATAGGGCGACTTGTGTAGCCCGCAGAGAAGACTCTGTCGAATTGGACTACTTTGATGACTCTGATGTCTTTCAAGGCAGACTTAACTGTAGCAAGTCCAACAGATTACGAATGCTACCATCTTGAAGCCAGGGATAATGGTGCAGACAGTGAAGGGCAACAAAGTTATTCAGCAATGGGGACTCCCAACTCCCTGCGAATGTAAATCCCGCGACAATACTGCAGACGTCATAGTCCCCGCAATTGGCTTCTGGAAACCTTCCGCACTTTTGAAGCTGTTGGATCTCAGTGTTTCTCAATTTTACTGGATTGAAACTAGTCATAATATGGACTTTTGCGTTGAAAGATCATGGAGATATTTACGAGTATGTGTCCTTCAAAAATCAAGGCGATGTCTACTAAGATAAAGCTAGGTCACATTCAGAGAACAGGCTCTATCTTATCATATCCATGACGATGGTAGATGGCAGCTATTGGGATCTGAGCGCTTGGGGATTGCACTCTGGAAGATCACTACAAAAAAAACTGGCACAAGTGTTATATTGCGAAAAGCGACCGAATATTGGCTGGGAGATTGAGTGAATCCCTTCCCTGGCACCAAGAACGTCTTAAGGAGTTCGAATTTGAGTGTTAAATCACTACGAAAGATGGAAATTGGATAGATATCGACGAATCAGAGGCTGCTGGTGGAAATGCAACTGTGGTGGATAAAAATTCGACTCCACAGCAAGTATCCTTACAGTCAGACAGCGATATCGAAATCGAGACCGGGACTACAAACGTCACTGACACCAAGAAAACGGATCAAAACAATCTGCAAGGTAAACAGAAGAGAAAGTGGGTAGCGGAATGATTAGGTTGATGAACAGGCTTCGGCAGATACATCAAGATGGATGTGCTTCGGGTGTAATCTACGGGATGGAATGAGATGAGAGAGAATCATGATGTGGATCTTCGTTAGTATCCGGTAGTATTCAATCAAAAGTTGGGAATAGTGAGCAAGTTTTGATTTCGTATCGTGATGGGTGACCTGCATGATTATTGTTGTCCAGTTCTGCATATATTACCAATGAAAGTGGCTGACGCGGCAATGCTCATTCATTCGGGAATATGCATATCTGAGCCTTGAAGGTCTTTAGGCAACAGTAAGGTAGATACTCGTTTGTTGTTTTTGATTCTATGTTACACAACCTTTGAGCGTGTTTGGATTTTGTCAAGAAGTTGCAGTTTGCTTCATGTTTCATGACTTACAAACAGGACTGGGTAAATGATAGTACTGCCCAGATTACCGGGGGAGTATGTATAAGGGAAAATTGAATGGAGGATATAGGAATTGTGGAGAACTAGAACCGGCTAGAGTGAATGTGTGTGAAATAAATCGCATGGTCAATAGACTGTCCCTTGATCCACCCTCTTAATCATACCATTTGATGCTACAATAGATAAACTGGAGGCCCCAAGCTCTCCAATGTGAAACACTTCGTTTGTAGAATTATGTCATTTGCTACAAACTTTGGTAAAGCGATGCCCTTTGCCGAGATTTACAAGGATTTCATTGGCTGGATGTCAAGTTCACTGCACTCGAAACTTCATTTGTTGGCGCACATTCAATTATCTACCTAGATATCGGTTTCAAGATACAAATGGCCAGGGTATCGGAAGTCGCTCTGCGCCCCGAAGGGAGAATGAAATGCGGGATCCCACGAATGAGTCGATCTCGGTGTGAAGGCATTGGACGTAAGTTTCCGACGAAATGTATCTGCCTATTGGTGGCGGTGTCTATACACGCTTCCGGCCTTTCAAACGTGCCTTTACTTGGGTAATTAATTTTCAATTTGAGCGTGTAGATTACACACATTGCTGAGGATTTAACTATATCTTTCAGTCGTTGTAGGTAAACCACAAAATTTCAAAAGGCAGTCTTTCTATCTCTCCAAGTTTTCCTCTCGAAATTCCTCACAACACAAGCCCCGTCCAATTCGCGACGATGTCTGGCCCGTTCGGATCGTTTTTTAGAGGCGATGTTGATAACAAATGTAGCCTAAATGGGCGTTTACCGAACGAGAATGTTGTTCAACAAAATCCTACAAATATTGAATTTTGTGATTCACAAATATTGACAACAAAACGTGTTTACCGAACGCGAATGTTGTCTCACAAAATCCTACAAAATCTACAATTCTATATTCACAACATACCACCAAAATTTCAAATGCAGCTTTGAGGAGCATTTAACCAGCGAATAAATGTTCGAGCTGATCTCAATCTCAATGTTCATCTCAAATTTACGGCTAATGCCCCCGACAACAGTCCTCACATTATTCAATACGAAATCGCAAACCCCGCGGGTGGTGAAATTGATTCTGTCGCTGTTACTCTTGTGGATGTCATTTGTACCATTCTTGCCTACCAATTCCCATGGGCTTTGGTTCATCTTCTCGATTATAGTAGGGAAAGAGTCATATATCAGTATCGACGCTTTCGACGAGACACATTGCGGCTACATTGCTCGTACTAATCGGAAAGTCCAGGTGAGATTCATCGATACTGATTGAAGAAATCCCGTTAATTGCGATTGCAGATAGTTTTCAATGACATGACTTCCAAGAAATGATGGCACTACCACTACGAAATACTTGACGATGGACAGTGGATTCTCACTGCCTCTGGGAGCTTTGAAACACAGACGTTAGTCAAGCATTTGATCGAAAATAGATGGCTGGGAAATAATGCAGGATTCGTAAGAGAGAGAGACAGGCCTTTCGAAAAACCTCAGCTCAAGACAGATGCGTGGCTAGAGTATTTGGAGCGTGGAACCACAGACACGTTGGATCCGAGTAAACAGAGAAAGAAAGGGTTGATAGAGGAAATCAAATTGTCCTTCTGCCGCTTTCTGGTACGCGAGGTTGTTCGATCACTATTTGGGTGGATGTACTGGAAACTATAAAGAACATACCAAGTCTGTGGTTATAAGAGAATACTGTGTAATTGGAGCAAAGTAGAAGCGAGAAATTTTGGCGTCGAATATAAGGTATCCATTGCAGCCTCACAATGAAAAGCTTTAGTTCGAAAATTCTGTGGCAGCGAGCAAACCTGATCCTTGTGATTTATTCTTGTGGCTGTGATCTTGAATAAGAAAATACTTCGGCACGGAAACGTGCCAAAAATCGGTACCCGTAGCCCGAGCTTGGTAACTGCTCTTTTCCTCATCTATCGAAATTTAAGAGTGCTGAATTCCCATAAATTCCGACTTCTCATCATAACTTTCGTGAACTCACACTGCTTCTTCCATCTCTACTTACATCCAGCAATGGCCGATCCAAGTATCAAAGAAGGGACTGCCAAGCGAGTTGATGTCGAGTACGAATGCAAATTTAACCTTCCCGCCGATGCTCCTTCGAGACACCCACACATAATCAAGTGGAATGCTGGGGGCGACAAGCACAAAGTTCCACGCCATTTATTTACAGTCGACGTAATTGCTACTATTCCCTACGAATTCAATCCGTCGGCTCTCAGTCATTTGCTCGATGTTCAAGCGGGACAATTTTATTGCTGGTGGGAAACAAACGGGCATATCAAGGAATCCAAGAACAATAAAGAATATCAGAGTGGAGCCGTAAATAGCGAGAGCAAGAAATCCGGGAACTTGTTGTTTCTAGACTACATACATATTCATCGCGTAGGACAAATTGTTCGGGTCGAGGTGAGTAGCTTCCTGAAAAACACCTGTGGAAAACACATGTATAGTGCAGTGAATATCCCTCTGATGACTCAAAATAGATCGTTGGTTCTGCAAGTCGTTCCTCTAATTTGGAAGTAACTTATGCTATCTGCGATGAGGGAAATTGGGAGATTGTGAGCTCTCAGGATCAGAGTCATTATAACCTTGATGAGGGATATTACCTATATACCAGCTCTCCAAATCTTTGCAAAGCACACGACAATAATTTAGCAAGAATAATTTTACGCAAGACATATTTCGAGGACATGAAGTATTACATGCGAATGGGCTACCACCGGGACTGTGGGCTTGAAAATGGAGCTGGGGCTCCAAAATATTCAAGACGCAAGACGCAAAACATCGCAAATGCGGACTGTATTATCGAATCTCCTCAACAGGTTCAAGAAAGTGAAATCGTTTCCAGAGACAGTAGCAGATTCGCAGACGAGATGTCTGAGGTGCAAGGTCGGTTGGACAAACTTCAGAAGTCGGTCGAGGAATTGAAAAGCTCTTTGAAGAAGAGAAAACGCGATGATCGAGAGCATATGATGGCGTGCTTGGCATGTAAATGTGCGTATGAATATGGCTTACATATGGAGGAGATGAGAAGTCTTGTGTGTTCACATAACTTAGGCTGTCATATCAGATGGCTGAGGAAAGCGATCTTCGGATTGTATGCAAACGATAAGCAAAACATAGAGGGAAACTTCCAACCAAATTTTGATTCCTTTTGTGACTTTAGAATTTGGTTGTCAAATGATCGGAACATTGAAGGGTGCCATGATATAATTACTCAGATGCTAGGTTTGTAAGTCTGAAGGGTCATCCAATTCTCGATTCTGAGTCGAAACAATTTCCATTCTGTGACATTAGATGTTTGTAAATCATGTATTCCGTGCAGCATGTGATTCTTTCTGTTACCATGTCCTGGGAATTCGGCTCAAATATTCTCAAACTTTCCGTCAAAGACAATATCCAAACTATGGAGAGAATTCATGCAGCAGTCCTCTCCACGAAGAAAAAGGAGTTGGAAGGATTGACAAATGAAAGGCACAGTAAATCGATGAATCATCAAGCATATTCATACTATTGCTACCGCATACTACACCAGCGAGCCAAAGCAAACATGGAAAATCCTGCTGTGCTCCGGCATAGCTTTGATATGCAGGCCAAGAGCCTATCACAAGCTACTTCTGGAAAAGATTAGGTACAATTGATTTCTTTGCCAAAACCAAGCTCGAGAGATTTGAGTGCGAAGGAATGTTCTCCCAAAAAGTTCTTTAATGATACAGGGTTATATCATAGCACTAGCTTAATCCCTTCCTTTCACTTATTATTGAAATTTAAGACAGGATACTCCATACTTCATTTCATCAATCCAACTCAAGAAAAGCCCGGAATAATTATGGAGACCGAATTCTGCAAAAAGATTGACCTGAACCTCAATATTAGCATTGATCTCCCGGCAGATGCCCCCGAAGGCCATCCTCATCTCCTCAATGTCAAATGGCCTCGAAATGATCCTCATCCCGAAAAATGCAAGGAGATCAGATCGATGCAGATTGAGTTCCCGAAAGATTTGTCTTTGATCGACGTCATCGCAACTATACTCTTCGAGTGGAAACCGGCAGCACTTCATCACCTCCTCGACCTTGAAAACGAACAATTTCTGAATTTTATTGTGCAGCGAAATGGGAAGACGGCAGTGTAGAATACAATGCATGGAATAGATTCATGTACGTACACCGCTTGGGCCAGCATGTTAGAATTGCAGTGAGTTCTTTTGATGAAGTAATGTGGCGAAGAGATTTGACTAATCGCAGATCCAGATTGTCGGAATTCCTGCGGGTGCAGAGGTATCTTACCGTATTTGTAATGATCAGAAATGGGAGATTTTAAGCGCCCAAAATCACAATATGAAGGACAATTGCGTGTACTGGGTGCCTTCAGACCCTGTAAAGAGATGTGCCTGCGATGAGACCGAGAAGAGAATGGCCCAACTCATATCTCAGCAATTTCTGGCCGATGTTGTATTCCAGATATGATTTTTCCGGGTTTGATCTACGAGCCTGGACTTGAGAGTACGAAGAGGCAGAAATCGAAGGGATGTAATACAAGCGAGCTGATCGATGTTTGGCGGGAGTCAAATACTGGGAGCAGCCCTGACACTTTGATGAAAGGAAATACAAATGCAAGGGTTTCCGATCTTGAAGCCCAGATATTGGTGCTGAAGAAATCGATCATGGAACTGACTGGTCCAGCAAGAAAAAGGCGTTGGGAGGATCCATCGGAAAGTGCTCCGAACATCAATTTAGAGTGGAAATAGTGTCTACGTTGGGCAATAAAACCATGATTGAGCATTAATATGAAAGTTCATGGTCTAAGACATGTAGAGGTCAACCAGAAGAATGTTGCCTGTGTCAGGAATGGTAGAGTGAAAACAAGTTTGCGATCGAGGTATCTTGGTGTGAGAATTCGCATCATCTGAAGTTTCATAGTTATTTGAAATGGAATACAGAGAGAGCTTCAAGATAGAGTAGACGAACCCGGGAATTTCGTCAAGACACTTTCAAGTTGTGGAGTAAGATATCACAGACTGTAATACCATATCAGCAGCGAGAATAATTTCAATATGCTAAAAATAATGAAACCGTGTGGGTATCTATGAACAAAATATTAAACATCCAATCTATATAGTGAAGACTTCTCCGTTCAGTGATCTACTTTTGACTTTACTTGGCCCCTTTTTCATTTCCGTCCAGGTCCCATTGATATTCCAAGTCCCTGCCTTTGTGTAATCCCAACTTCTAGATCCTTGCATATATCCAAATCTGAAATATTCAGGATATAGTAAAGGTGAGTTTTTATACCAAACGAAATGCTTATCACTTGCGAATCCTTCATCGGTGTATCCTCTGAAACGTTCTACATCGTTGACTAGCACACTGATACCATCAAATGGGGCAGGTGGTGGAAGCCAGGTGAAAGATATAGAAGAAACATTACTACTCATTGAAATCTCTGGAGATGAAATATGTGGTAGCGCAGAATTATGTTTCGCATCTCCTTGAAGTGCTGCAGGAGTTTGAAGCACAGGGTCAAATCCCCACCGTGCAATACCGTTGATAAACAAGCCGACTAGCAGTCCTTGGTAGAGGAGTGCAGGTCTAGTCTGCATGGAAGTTCCCGGTAGCAGTAAGAGAGCAAGGATATAATGATGTATTCGAAGACTGAAGCCGGGTAGTAGGAGAGATATGAGTATAGCGGCAACAAATATCCCATACAAGCCGAGAAAGCGAATCAAGCGGCCCTCCATGCGAAAGAAGAATACTTGTTTCGCGATTATAATGATAAGAAATATGATGATAAACGCCAAAGCAAGTTTGGCACCTGGCTGTTGATTGATATCGTGAGCATTTAGCCGTTGAATAGGGATCCAATCAAAAGTGTAATTTGAGAGTGTCCCAACCCAGCAGCCCCCGAGCCATAATATAGTCTTCTCGATTTGAGCTGTGAGCCCAGTCAAGGCACGTTCGACACCCATGTATTTATAAATGACAAAAGCGCAGAAGGCTGCAGGCAGGAACTTCCCTAATATGTTCGAGACCAATGCGGTCATAGTATCATAATGAGGTGGATCAGAGCCGAGACCAGTATGAGCAAAAAGCCCAGTGAAGATGGAAAAGAAAAAGAGACCAGGCGATGTAGTAAAAAGCGATAGCACTACTGTGAACGTTAGAGAAACAAATAGCAGTGACCAGCGCGAATCTTTGGCCTTGCAAGTGACTCCTTTCTGGAATGCAAATGATGATGGGAAGGTCGAATCGAAACCAATGCTTTTGATCCCATGTCTGTTCGAGCTTTGATAGTTATTGCGTTCTCCAACCAGCAACACAACGCCGCAACCTCCTTTAACATTGTCGATAACCCCAGCATGGATTGCTGACCCGCAGATGAAGCTGTCGCTGCGATAGATTGCAGTAGTGTCATCGTCTGTAGGTCCACCAATCACTAATGGCCTGTAGTTGATTTCTTGCGCCCCAACAGCTCGCGGGTTAAGCACCTTGGCGCTGGCGCAGTTTGCGGGACATTTGAATGCAAATCCACTTCCATTAAAGGGTCGGCAATCGTTTCCATTCAAACCACACTGGTTCCCAGATACCCAATATGTATTGCCACATCCAATATCGCCAGGGACTCCCCATTCCTCTATCGCTGTAGCAAGTGTACTCTGGCGTAGGACAAGAGAAAAAGTGAGAACCCAACAAAAGTAATATGCCACGAGAAGCAATATCCTATGTCTTCTCTTAGGTATATATCGATCTAAAAGTCGTAATGGTGCTTGCTGTAGCCATGGAAACCAAGGCTTGATGACGTTCATGCGCGGGGGATCTGGCCCTTTCGCCCAAGCAATGGCTTGTTTACTGACACGTCTGACCGGAGTAGGAATCCATTTATGGTATCGATAGGAAGACTGATCTTGTAAGAACCGAGGGGTAGGAGGAGAATCATCATCTGATATCTCGTTCATAGGTAGAAGCTGGGTGAGTGTAGGGTCTTCAATTGGATCATCGGGGTGGTCATTGTCTGTGAAATGCTGCCTATTATCGATGCGACCACTTCGGTCTCCCATATTGTCTGATTGGAAACCCCAAAATGAAGGTGACTTGATCCGAAATTCCCGAAGGTTGTGCGTGCTCGATTGCTTTTCCTTGCTTATTATAGCAAACTGGACATGTTAGTCCTAGGTTCAAATAAGAACTGAATGCTTGTGACAATCTCAACTCATTCAAAAGCAGAAAGAAACTATGCAAATGAGAGTTAAAGTACGATGAGTGCTGCGGTAATGGAAGTACACTTTTGAAGTACTCCTCCCTTCCCGTCGTCAGACTTGAGGAATGTAACATTAATTGCTTGGACATTTATCCGATAAGGATAAGCTGCTGTGATAGCCATGCTAACCATTTACAGGCTAGCGTCTCAAATTTGTCCAGTACTATTCAAGCCTCCAGCGTGGGAAAAATTATGTTCTAGTCAGATAGTGTGATGATATATCCGTTCTCGACGCCAATATAAAATTCTTGTCCAAAATAACACATTTTGAGATGTTTACAAAATCTGCAAGTGCTTGTCTCAAATTTACGGACGCTCTGTATATAATCTGAGGGTTGCTGGCCTGCAGAAAACTCAGTATCTTGGCGATATCTAATCGACCTCTTTGCTCATACCTCTTATTTCACTTGACGCAATGTCTGCCATCAATATGGCTCCCAAAAACTCTACCAGGCTCGGATTCCAAATTTTGAATACTTTGGATCACAATGCCTCTGGTCCAAGACTTGGAAGAATCACTCTGGAAGGACGGAAAGATTTGGAAACTCCGGATTTTCTGGCCATTACATCTAGAGGCGTTATACCTCATATGACGCCAGATGTAATTGCAGCACATGCAAAAGTACCGGGTGTTCATTTTGCATTGGAAGATTGTAGGTTTCCCATCAATCTATCACGTGTTTATATTCGTTCTGATCTTTTCTAGTCATAGAAAAGAGCAATAAAACAACCATATCTCCTATCTTGAACTGTCCTGGAGCAGAACCAGCTCTTCATGCTTTTACTGCCTTGTCCAGATCTACCATATCTCTTTTGGCACCAAGACGGACACCTGCTGTTACGGCTCCCAATGGCAATAGTAACACAGCTATTTCTGTATTCACATCGACAGGATTTCAACCTCTTTCTAACAAATCCTACATCGATTCAATCGCAACCTTACGCCCAGATATCGCTATTGGGCTTGCGGATGTTCCCTATAGCACTATAGCAGGAGCAAAACGTACCGCCAAGATGGGCGATAGAAGTGGGCAATGGTTGGCTCAGCTCTTGGCTGACAAAGTCAAGGAACAGCCCGTTTTTGCACCAATATTACCCATCGATTATCAAAACCAGTGGGAGTACATAAATTATATTGCTGACGAACTGGTGAATGAGGTCTCGGGTTTGGCTTTCTATGATTCAAACTTACTCCCAGAAATTCCAGAGACTACAGCCATGTCTCTACTCCCTCGTCTCTCTTTAGATGAACCATCATCTCCTCATCACGTACTTCGTCAAATTTCACTCGGAATGGACATTTTTACCATTCCGTTCATCAACTTTGCCACGGATGCTGGAATCGCACTGACCTTTGAATTTCCATCTCCCGCCAACTCTTCATCTTCAAGCGAAAACAATCCAGTCCTTCCTCTGGGTATTGATATGTGGACTGCAGCTCATGCTACTTCCTTACTTCCTCTTTCTGAATCCTGCAAATGCTATGCATGCACTTCCCACCACCGAGCGTTCATCCAGCATTTACTTTCAGCCAAAGAAATGCTCGGATGGGTCTTACTCCAAGTACATAACCATTATGTTCTTTCGGAATTTTTTACTTCAATACGAAAGAGTATCAAAGATGACACATTTGAGAAAGACTGCGAAGAGTTTGCCAGGAAATACGATGGTGAGCTACCAGAGAAGAGTGGACAAGGGCCACGAATGAGAGGTTATCAGTATAAAAGCGAGGGAGCGGGGGAGAGGAAGAAGAACAAAGCTGCCTGGAACAATTTGGGATCTGATTCAAAAGCCACCGGCTCAGAAGTTGCGCTAGTGCCTGATGAGAGCTCAAAAGAGCTTGAAGAAAAAGGATTCGCGGAGAAATTAGAGAATTAG